ATTAAACTTCATTCTTAAGATGATTTTTGTTTAAAATGGAAGTTGCCGAATTCATGTTCAGTCTCAACATCTATATATGTAATGCATTTTCATTAAAAACAATATTTTTATTCTAATATTAAGACTGAATACAAGTGCCACCACTTCTATTTAAGACAAAAAGGCAAATTTTTACACAATATTCAAGCTTGATACTGTCTGAATTTGGATTGTGATCAAATTTTTGACTTAATATAGGTTTCTAACACAAAATAAATGTGGTCAAAGATCTTATAAATCCATTGCCCAATACTGTGCAATTGAAGATTTCTTCTTGAAACTTTTCAAAAATTCAAAATTTAAAAAATTTTGAAAAAAATATGAATCCCTTAAAAAAAATGGGAAAAAATCCCCCCCACACTTTTTGAACCCCCCCCCCCCCCCCCCCCCTTGGAGCAATAACCCCAAAACTCAATCCCAGCCTTCTCTTTGTTATATGGAACCTTGTGGTACAATGTTAGAGAGATCCATACACTTACACACTAGTTATTGACTGGAAACTAGGAAAATGCTTGTTTTTGGCCCCTTTTTGGCCCTTAATTCCTAAACTGTTGGCCCCATAACCCCTAAAATGAATCCAAACCTTCTAATTGTGGTATTAAACATTGTGGTACAATTTCTGAGCAATAGAAATACTTATACACAAGTTATTATCCTGAAACTAGAAAAATGCTTGTTTTGGGCCCCTAATTCCTAAACGGTTGGGAACATCATCCCCAAAATCAATCCCAACCTTTCTTTTGTGGTATTGAAACTTCTTTAAAAATTTCATAGAGATCCATTCACTTAAACTAAAGTTATTGTCCGGAAACCAATGTGTCTTCGGACGACACATAAACTCATATGCTCATACAAGAATTAAACTCATTATAATTTCACTGTAACTAGATCAGAGCTGTAACAGTCAATTATGTAAGAAAAAATATTGGTAGTTTGATTTTTTGTTGTTGTATGCCTTTGTTTGTGTGTCTGTTATTTTTTTCAGGGAAGTCAAGTGTTGGTGGTTGGTGTTGTGTTGTCAAGTGTTGGTGGTTGGTGTTGTGTTGTCCAGTATTATTGGTGATTCCTGCTATCCTTTTTATGTATTATTGGTGATTCCTGCTATCCTTTTTATGTATTATTGGTGATTCCTGCTATCCTTTTTATGTATTATTGGTGATTCCTGCTAACCTTTTTATGTATTATTGGTGATTCCTGCTATCCTTTTATATGTATTATTGGTGATTCCTGCTATCCTTTTTATGTATTATTGGTGATTCCTGCTATCCTTTTATATGTATTATTGGTGATTCCTGCTATCCTTTTTATGTATTATTGGTGATTCCTGCTATCCTTTTTATGTATTTTTGGCGATTCCTGCTATCCTTTTTATGTATTATTGGTGATTCCTGCTATCCTTTTTATGTATTTTTGGCGATTCCTGCTAACCTTTTTATGTATTATTGGTGATTCCTGCTATCCTTTTTATGTATTGTTGGTGATTCCTGCTATCCTTTTTATGTATTGTTGGTGATTTCTGCTATCCTTTTTATGTATTATTGGTGATTCCTGGTATCCTTTTTATGTATTTTTTGACTGATTAAAAGCTTTACCTAGACACTTGTCTTTTTTATCTATCTATCAAATATCTGGACTAAAAAAAACCAAGATAATTGATAAATTCATGTCAAATTAGAATTAATTTATGTGATCTGTTCATTTCAGATACCTAAATCTCAATTTATAATGGCTGAAAATGTGTGACAAAAAAATTGCATTCTCAGAAGGTGTTATAAACATTCAAAGTACCGTCAAACAGGAAATGACTGCCAGGCAGATCTGAGAACTAAAGGTTCAGACCAAATATAACATCATTCCTAAATACAGAAGTATATGTATATGAAATATGTATTGAAAATTTTGATGTTCTGCAGATATTGTAAAATTTCAAATTATTGTCAAACAGGATTGGACTAGCCAACAGAATTGAAAACTTCTTTACTGTCCACCTCATCACAATAAAGTGCCATAGAAATTATCAAACCATTCCTTGATACAGAAGTTGTACAAAATGTACATTCTTAACCAATATTAAAATGCTATCAGAATTAAAGGAACGAACAGTGTTGTATTTCAGATACAAATTTGTTCGTTTTGGTTTAGAATGTCATTCGGTTCTTAAAAAAACAAGTAAAATTTGCAATATGTTATAACAAAAATTATGGGCTGATGAATGTATTATACAACAGACAGATGAACACAGGAACAGATGGAGGTACAAGATAAATGCAGTATACCACCACTTGATGAATGGGGGGTATAAAATTTCATTATGCGAGTATGTACAATTCACTCACACACAAAGAAATAATTGAAGCGGTCGATAGAGCATGGCCAATAATGCTTGAAATTAAATATGATATACCTCTGCCACCTAAGAATGAAATTCTCGAGCTTTTGAATTACGTACTAACAAATAATGAATTTGAATTTAATGATACAATATTCAAACAGAGATGTGGGATTCCTATGGGAAACCCAATGAGTCCTAGTTTAGCTGATATTAGAATGTTTGAAATAATTTCAAAAATACTTGATCTATTCCCATTCAAAAACAATATCACTAAATTAGATTTACACATGAGATATCATCGGAAAGTATACAGTTTCTAGACATAACTGTCTTCAAAGGTGAATGATGGGGAAAAAAAGCAAATTTTAGACATCAAACTATATAGAAAACCGACTGATAATTTCCAATACCTGGAACGAACATCAACCCACCCTACATCAGTATTCAAAGAATTCATTACTGCAGAAATTATTCTCTTTATACGATCTTGCAATAACCTGAAAGACTTCAATAAAGAAGTTCAACTTTTTAAGTCTAAACTTCTTAAAAGAGGACATTACGAAAATGAGATTGACAACATTGTAACTAATACAACAAAATGAAAAAGGAAACAAACTTTGAAATATAATTATAAAAATAAGAAAGCGGCCCCACCACTCGTTTTTGCAACAAGATTTAACCCAGAATTTAAAGGAATAGGCAGAGCGTTAAGGAAACATTGGCACCTAATCGAACAAAACAGAAATACAAAAACTCTGTTTCCAAAACCACCAATTTTTGATTATTGCGTACAAAAGACATAAAAATCTAAAAGAGTATTAAACGAATTCAAAGATGGAAATGATATAATCATATAAAATCAAATAAAAGATAAAAATATCACACACAATAAAATAACAGAATAGCTAAAATAAAGAGAGAAATAAATAACAAAAAATCAGAAGGAAGAAAAAAGAAAGAAACAAACTAGAACGTATAAACAGGTGTCGTATCCCCATAAGAGAAATCAAACTGGAACTATTCTAAATATTACAAGAAAGGAAACATATAGGCTAGGGATAGCTGATGAGGATAGGCCTAGGTCTACATGACCATAACCGAAACACCTTCTTTAGTATTAGAAATCCAGACCTGATCTGGATTTCTATTCTAAAAATACACACACAATAACTATACTAAAAACATGCAAGTGTGAATTTCTCGAAAAATACGAAAACAAATGCAGAAAAATGTAATCCATAACCAGAAATAAATATCATACACTGAGTTTACCAGCTCTAAATTACTCTAAATGTATGCACATAGAAAATGGAATTAATTATGAAGGATTATAATAAGATATACTGGATTGGTCCTAGACCCGATTGATTTTAATATGTTGTTTTAACTTGGCTAAGATGAAATAAAAGCTCAATAGAGCTTATGTTTTCTGTATACCGGTACTAATATTCATCTTTAAATAAAGCTTTTGAACTGGGCTGATAAACTCACAATCTGAAAAAATTTCCAAAGGACTTTAATGTATAGCTTGTGAGTCATCCTAAATATTTGTTATTTTTATCTTTCAATTTCCAATTTTGTTGAACCCCATGATTTCATTCATGTGTATCCTGTATGATTATATCACGGTGAAATCGACATAGTGTTTACATAGGTTATGAAAATAGTTCAGACAACTAACTATAAACCTAGGAAAAAGATTATAATATTGGACCAATCACATTAAAGCATTTGTAGACACGTAAACCATATAAGAATTACTCTAAGCATTCAAACCAAATTCTGCAGTTGCCCAAAGATGCCTTATTGCTATTTTTTTTTATCAGATGTCACAGTTATTTTCATTTGTTTTTCATATTTAGTAAATTTTCTTACTTTGAAAATAACTCCTAACATTAATTTCAGTATTGAATGGGAAGTAACTTTACTTCATTTATCAGAATTTTTGGGATACTTGTTGATATTAACAATTATAGTTTTTTTTTCTCACTGAAGCTAATAAATAGGTAAACATATATTATTCTGAGTCCCCTGGATCCTTAAGGGCTCATGCATTGCATTTCTTTTAATGAAATAAAGCAATTTACCTCTTCTATTTGCTAAGAAAATTAAAAGTGCAACAGAAATATTTTTATGACAAGGGTGATAACTCAAACTACAAAACTATCTGTATTTTTATAAAACATCTCCACTGTTTTCTTAACAGTTTTATGGTGTATTATCCTTTTTCAGTAATGTAAATATCAACTGTAAATACTCATGAAGTGACATGAAATATTGAAACCTTACAATGTGAAATGAGCAAAATGTGACCACGCTCTACAGTGTTGGGGTCAAAGAGAGAAATCTTACAGAAATACATATCGCTTTCATTATAAGTGTGGAAGAACATTTATGCCTAACTTTAAGCAATCAATAAAATCCGTTCACCTTAATATTTTTTCCATGCTTCATAATTTGATTTCTGAAAATAATGCATGCAGAAAGCATGAAACTCAAGTTTCAAATGCAATAGAGATATTGTTCTTTCGGAGCACCACCTAGTGATTAATGGAATGCCTAATTACTGTCATCTTAATATGACAAGAAATTTACAAACTAATTTGTCTGCAAAAGAACAAACTCACAATTTACAAAATAAGATTTATTGATGTGTTCAGTTTACTGTTTTTGTGAGGTTGACCAATGAAATTCAGCTCAAGTAGGATATACAGTACTATAGTTCTGGCTTTTATAATAAATTTAAATGTGTATGTATTCATGGGCAATAAAGGTATTCTAATTATACAATGAAAAAAAATAAATGACTGGTAAACAGGTTCACATGTTGATAGGTTGACAAGTGTTAAAAATGTAAATATTTTTATGGTTGACAGGTTGACAAGTCGACAAGTTGACAATGTTAAAATGTAAATATTTTTATGGTTGACTGGTTGACATGTCGACAGGTTGACAGGTTGACAAGTTGAAAATTTAATATAATTAAAATTGAAGTTATGGTTGACAAGTTGACAGGTTGACAATTTGAAAGAATTTAAATAGTGTATTATTGATGACTGGTGGACAGGTCGACAAGTCCACAGGTTGACAATTTGACAGTGAGAAATGAAAACTGTAATAATGGTTAACAGGTTGACAGGTCGAAAGTCAACAGGTAGACAGTTATAAGTCAAGACTTAATAAAAAGGTTAAAAAACTGAATTGTAAAATTAAACTTGTCAGCCTGTCAAGTTGTCAACCTGTCAACCTGTCGACCTGTAGACCTTTTCACTTGTTGACCTTTCAACATGTCGACTTTCACACTTGTCGACCTGATAGTCTGTCAACTTATGTACATATAAACCGATTTACTTCTTAAGTTAAACCGAATTACTCCTCTGTTCTTCCGATGGAACTACAGTACCGTTTATCCTACTTGACCTTGAAATTCCAGCTCACATACAACATAGGAGTTAATAGTATACTGTAACAAGCATTACTTTAGTAACCATTGACTACCATTAGTCATGCTAAAGTGAGTTGTATATTTAAATTCTTCAAATTTACCTCAGGACAAATAGCATAGTAGAAGATTGCAAGCTAATTTAAAACTTATATAACAAAATATAAAATTATGATCAATAAATTTGGAGTACATCACATTACAATTTCATGTCACCAGAGTAGAATCTTCCTCAATGTCTTCTTTCGCTCCATATTTATCATACATATATCTTAAATGTGTCAATAACGAATCAATTCCTATTCTATGTTTTGCTGATACTGGAAATACAGGCAAATTTATGGCTAAAGTCAATTCTCTCAAATTATCCTTTGCTCCTGGAAGATCTATCTTATTACCAATTACTGCATGAGGTCTTGCTGATAGTCCTGGTTTATACTGATCAAGTTCATATTTCAGATCATTTAACTGTGTCCATGGTTCACTCACTGATAAATCAATAACATACAATAAACAAGCACATCTTTCAATATGGCGCAAAAATGAAATTCCAAGTCCACGGTTTTTGTGTGCATCTTTAATCAAACCTGGAATATCTGCAACTGTAGGTAAAAATAATTATGTGCAACATTATATCAGATATAATTGTTTGAATTTACTATAATACAGAAAATATTTTCAAAATTTCACTATGGATACTGTCTTTTGGTCATAAACAAGCTCCTGTCCAAATTTCATAAAATTCCATGAAAGTTTGACAAAGTTATTGATTGAAAAGATTTAACCACAGACTGAACCTAAATGTTGACAAAACTGACGTTGGAATCTAGGATTGCAATGTCTCGATTTTGCGACATAAATGTCACAGACTCGACAAAAAAAGATGGGAAAATTTGTATCACATAATGTATTACCCAGAAGGTCAATATCAACCACAGGGCCAAAGGACAGTGACACACATTTTACCATTAAATTGAGAATGGAAATGGGGAATGTGTTAAAGAGACAACAACCTGACCAAAGAGCAGAAAACAGCCAAAGGCCACCAATGGGTCTTCAACAGTTTGAATTGTTTACTCAATCATATATCTAAACATGAAAAATGTGATACAGGTATTTTATATGGGCTATGGAAAAAAGAGAGTTGTCAGCCTTTAGGAAACCTGACCAAAATCCAAAAAGAGTCATGCTGGGAGAATAAGAAAATAACACAGAGAAATGATAGCAGGAATTATCAAAATTATTAAACAGCACATCTGACCACACCAACCACCAACTCCTCCAAGAAAATACCAGTAGACATGGTATACATACAAACAAAGAATAAAATGCTCCGCTGGGCGCAGCTTGATACGACAGCAGAGGTCGAACCCTGAACAGTTGGGGCAAGTATGGACACAACATTCAAGCTTGATACAGCACTGAATTTGGATTGTGATTAAATATTTGACATAGCATAGGTTTCTGATACAAAATGAATGTGGTCTAAGAACTTAAAAAAATTTAATTTACCTTTTTTAACCATATCATTATTATTTGCTTTTATATATAAATCAGAAATAACCAATTTAAAATGGAAAATTTTAAAGAAAAAAAAGGAAAAAAAGGGAAAAAAAATCCCTCCCCCAAATTTTTTGAACCCCCTTATGATTCATCACCCCCCAAACTCAATCCCAACCTTCCTCTTGTGGTATGGTACCTTGCAGTACAATTTCAGAGAGATCCATACACTTACACACAAGTTATTGTCCTGAAACTACAAAAATGCTTGTTTTTTGCCCCTTTTTGGCCCCTAATTCCTAATACTTTGAGGCAATTACCCCCAAAGTCAATCCCAGCCTTCCCTTTGTGGTATGGTAGGTTGCAGTACAATTTCAGAGAGATCCATACACTTGGACACAAGTTATTGTCCTGAAACTACAAAAATGCTTGTTTTTTGCCCCTTTTTGGCCCCTAATTCCTAAAACTTTGAGACAATTACCCCCAAAGTCAATCCCAGCCTTCCCTTTGTGGTATGGTAGGTTGCAGTACAATTTCACAGAGATCCATACACTTGGACACAAGTTATTGTCTGGAAATTAGAAGAATGCTTATTTTTTGCCCCTTTTTGGCCCCTAATTCCTAATCATTTTTGGCAATTACACACAAACTCAATTCCAGCTTTCCCTTTGTGATATGGAACCTTGTAGTACAATTTCAGAAAGATCCATACACTTACACACAAGTTATTATCATGAAACTAGAAAAATGCTTATTTTAGTGCCCCTTTTTTGGCCCCTAATTCCTAAAATTTTGAGGCAATTACCCCCAAAATCAATCCCAGCATTCCCTTTGTGATATGGAAACTTGTGGTATAATGTCAGAGAGATCCATACATTAACACACAAGTTATGTCTGGAAGTTACAAAAATGCTTATTTTTTACCCCTTTTTGGCCCCTTATTCCTAAACTGTTAGTACCATAACCCCCAAAATCAATCCCAACCTTCCTTTTATGGTATTGAACCTTATGGTAAAATTTCATAGAGATCCATTCGCTTAAACTAAAGTTAGAGTGCGAAAACCAATGTGTCTTCGGACGACGATGACGACCATGACGACGACGCCAACGTCATACCAATATACGACCACAAAATTTTTTGGCGGTCGTATAAAAACAACACATGGTCAAAATAGCTTGACTTGCTACAGGCACAAAATATGATGTGTAATATGTCATAACAGCAATCCAACAACAGAAAAAACAAGCAATCTAAGCAGAAATAAATGATTTACCATTTCAGAAAACCTGATATCACCATCTGGTTTTTTGGGGAGTTTGTTATTCCAACAGTTGATTAAGACTGCATGGGTTGATGTCTTTTTGATGTGTAACGGTTTTTGTCTTTCTTTTATTATTTTGGTCTTGAATTTTCATATGGATTTTTATATGATTCTATTCTGGCACAGTTATTTCAGTATTCTATAAGTCTCCAGGCACAGATCCAGAATTTGATGTTAGAAGGGAAGGGGGCACTGTAGGAAATAGAAGTTAGTAGACTATATTTTGACATAAAAATTGCTGCAATTTCACCTAAAAATTACATTTTCAACCGGATTTCCGAAGATTTTCAAAGGAAAAATCGGTTATTGATTTGGGAATGTACAAGGAATGGGCAACTGGGCAGGCGGCTGCCAAACAGTGTCTGTGCATTTACTCATGATCCGTTCAACCAAAGCTATTCAAATTTTAATATGTTGTTACTGATGACAAAATGGAGGTCAAGTTTGATATTGATGATTTTCACTTTCACCGTTTAGGAGTTGTGATTCTTGAAAGATTGAAAAATGGTGTTTCAAGTCGTGTCCGTGCTTTAACTCATGGAGCATTCAACCAAAGCTTTTCATATTCTAATATGTTGTTACTCATGACAAAATGGAGGTCAAGTTCAATATTGATGATTGTCACTTTTACTGTTCAGGAGTTATGGTCCTTGTGATATTGAAAAAAATACCAGGACACAAATAAATGTTAAAAAATACGGTTTACTGTCATTCCGAAGAAAATTGGTTATTGATTTGGGGATGTATGGCGGGCGAGCATCCGGGCGGGCGGCTGCCAAACAGTGTCTGTTCATTAACTTGCAAACGCTTTGACGAAATCTTTTCAAATTTAGATATGTTGTTTCCTGTGACTAAATGAAGGTCTAAATAGATTTTCATGATTTTAGCTTTTATCCTTGTTGAGTTATTCACCTTTATGTAGGGAAAAGTGATACTTAGATTGATTTTGGCATTTCCATTTCTGAATCCTACAAAAATTCATTTATTTTTTGTTACTTGATCCTGCTTGGGGGTCCAGATTTGTAGGAAAATCCAGTTTGCTGTCACTTTGACAGCCTCTTGTTTCTTTTTATTTTAGGAAAAGGGGAAAAAGGGGGGGGGGGTAAAGGTGCACGCCCATCTGAATCCATGCATTGTCTCACATAATTACTATAACACATCAATGAAGTGGGTATACTGGGTGTCTACAAATTGTCAATAATAATCACCTGCTATTTGTATGTAATCATCATAACCAACCATACCAATATGTGGATTCATTGTAGTAAATGGAATGGGTGAAACCTTTGGTTTAGCTCTAGAAATAGCCCTCAAAAGTGTGGACTTTCCAGCATTTGGAAAGCCAATCTGAAAAAAAATTGAAGGGTTTGAAAATTAAACCAGCATAAGTGAGTACAACTATATCATTTTGTCAAGTAAAAATGTTTGAAATCAAATTTTCTGCATTATGTAACATTAGGTGTCCAGAAATTGATGAAAAACAAATATTTTACAAAAAAAAAAAACCGACAAATTGATGTAATTCATCACAGTATTAGTCCTGCATTAAACTTTATCATCAACTAATCTTTTAGTTTTTGTTCGTTTTTTATTAAACCCAAATTACAAAAATTTTCAAGCATATTTTGGCAAATTTAAGTGATGAGAAACTGATGGAAAAAAGATAAAATATTGATGTTACCAACCTTTCTGCATAATTACATTGAAACAGACAAAAGATAGTAAAACGTAATTCCTGATATTTCTATGAAATTTTGTTGACAATGAAACTTGAGAAATGTGGAAAGTATTTGCTATTTCAAGAAAGTATTTGATTCTATATAAGCTCAAAATCCTGTCATGTGTTGCATTTATTTTGAAACTTTAACTCTATGTTGGGCCAAACTAGGCATTTATACCCGATTGTACTTTTCATTTACTAATAAATAAATAAAAATCTCTTAATCTGGTGCACAGAAATTTCTACTTAACTGTACATAAGATATACAAAGTTTCAAAAAGATCTGTCTTTTTAATCTTATTACCAATCCTGCATTAGCCATTATCCTTAGTTCAAGCATCAATTGTCTACTCTCTCCTTCCGCACCCAACTCAGCTTTTGCCGGTGCTGTGTTTGTGTCTGTTAAGAAAAACCTGTTGCCCCGCCCACCAGATCCACCCCTTGCAGCAATATAGTAATCATGTTCTTCATCAAGACTTGTCAACATCTTTCCTTCTTCATTCCTGACTATTGTACCCTGAGGAACCTATTGAAAGCAAGAAGAGAAAAAGAGAAAATTGTACACCTTTATAAAATATTAATTATTGGATGATATCATAACAGATCATGTGATCATTTACAAGACCAAGATGTTACTGTTCGTACAAATTTTTTTTACATTACTTCAATATGATCGTATATTTCTCCAGATCCCATACCATTGTACACACACCAGTCTCATGATTATGTTATGAAATGTTCTCTTTAATTTTGGTTTTATAATTAAAATCTACATAAATTTTGTAGACATAAAAAAATGACGTTTTTCTTTGAACAATATGTAATTGGTTGAAACATTTAAAATTTAACACAAGTTTCTAGAGTTGTAAAAATGCTTTTACCCTGGATATATATTTTGATATTTATTACTTCTAATTAGATGAAGTTCGTTTTTTTTCAAAGACAATAAGGTTAGATCTCAAAGAAAATTTACATAAGATGGTTCTGACTGTTTGAATAAGTAACTCCCAATGTGTTTACGCATCCTGGTTTTTGAAACATTGGACTTTGTTTAATGGGCATAGATTAACCCACTAAAGCAAATCAAACAAAACACATAAAATGTTTTTACTCTGATCCACTGAAGCTTGTTATGCATTTTGCGTAACCTAAAACAAGAAAAATGAGATCAGAGCAAACAAAGGCAAACACCCAATTTCCAATTTCTAAAGATGAGAAAGTCTATATTTTTCTATGTAAACACAATGGCAAATTACCTTAACATATAAATGTTCAGCATTTTTTCCATGGCAATTCTTGGACCGTCCTTTGACACCAGTGTTACCATTTATAACTGTTTGTAGATGGTTAAGGGACCTTATATCCTTGGATGCTGCATAAAAAAACAAATCAATGTACCAGGGTAATTCAATGTCTTATTATCTGGCTTACCTGACCAACATTTATTTTCAAAAACCATGAAATAAACAAACTTATCGCTATTTTGTGTTTTTTTCCTTTGATCTTTTTTTTAGATAATTTTTCATATCATGCTACTCGCTTGTGATAGAAAATATTGCTAGAAACTAAGGACACCCGTGCTGTTGTCAATGTAAACATCAACAACATCTATGCAAAACAGAGATAAACAGATTATCAATGGTCTTTCAAACTCCAGGATCTTTTTTCAGCCACATCTCATCTCAAGGCTGCATACATATAGATTTTTACAGTTTTTTTCTTAAGTTGTGCTGTAACACCACTGTCCAAGGATAGGGGAGGGTTGTGCACTCATAAACATGTTAAACCACACCACATTCCATTTATAATGTTTCCATAGGTTCATGCTTCATTGAACCATGAAATATAGTTCAGTGTCATTTTGTTTAGGTAGAGGGTAAATATGTTTCCACGGGTCCATCCCTATTAGAAGTTTATGAGTATTAGCCAATTACTATCTGAGAACTGAAGTTGATTGTAGGTGATATTGTTCAAAAGGCCTTGATAGGCAGCAAATTTTGAAAAGTATCATGGTTACAAAGAGTCAGTCTCTTTAGGTAAAGCTGAAAATACGTGTATCAGACTGTATGTCAATCAGTATATGAGAACTGACTGTCGACATTCACATGCATTTATGGACATAGATGAAATGGGTATCCTGGACATCAGTCATCCTCGACTTCAATGACTAATAAACTAAATATGACAAACACATATATAACTGGTAATTAGTTTTGAATTTTCTACTATTGATGACAAGCATATTGTTCTCTTGATATTTTTTTTTACTAACTTCTTATTTTCTTAAAGGGGATGGGGTATGGAAGGGTTTTTTTTGTAGAATTGGATTGTTGTCTCCTTGATGTTTGTAATGTTTGTGATGTATGTAGAACTTAAGCCAGAAAAAAATGTATGACAATTTTGCAGTAAAATTACAAACTGATGTCATGAAGCACTAAAATAAAATTGCCAAAATTAACTAAATTGGTCTGCAGTTTCTATTTTTCCTCATACTGATACTTTAGTGCTTGAAAAGGCCCTACTTTTAAAACACTTTACACAGTCTTCTCTATCAAATATACATGGTTCATTGAATTACATCAGTGAAATCAAGAATGGCATACCATTGAGGACAACATGGCTTACCATTGAGGACAACATGGACTACCTTTTAGGACAACATGGCTTACCATTGAGGACAACATGGCCTACATTTGAGGACAACATGGCCTACCATTGAGGACAACATGGCTTACCATTGAGGACAACATGGCCTACCTTTGAGGACAACATGGCTTACCATTGAGGACAACATGGCTTACCATAAGGTCAACATGACCTACCTTTGAGGACAACATGGCTTACCTTTGAGGGCAACATGGCTTACCATTGAGGACAACATGGCCTCCCTTTGAGAACAATTAAAGCCATACTTTTAAGAACAACATGCCTCCCTTTGAGAACAAAATGGCATACTTTGAAGAACAACATGGCCTACCTTTGAGAACAACATGGCCTCCATTTCCCCCATCTCCTCCATCAGGACCACAAAATTCTTTATTTTTTTCACTAGTGAAACACATAACTCCATTACCTCCTGTTCCACCTGTCACTTTCACTTTTTTGAAATCCACAAAAAATGTTTTCTGAAAAATTATTAAAGTAACTTAGGTCATCCATAGTACAGAACGATACAAAGTCAGCAAATTCCAATGAGCTTCTTTTAAGCCTGGTCATATAAAAAGCTATAAAAAATCTCCTGTCACATTTCTTGCCATATGAAATATCAAATTATAACTCTAAAATCTCAGAAACTACAAGAACTAGTTAAAATCAAACTTTACGTTAGATAAAAGAAAGATTTTTTTCCAGAATATGGTTCAAAGATTGCTTGTGGGAAATTAAAGATCAATTCCTTTTTATATTCAAATATGGGGGTCTGGATGTGGGATCCTTATTTTTGCATTTTTTTTAAGGCTATTTTTCTCAATTCTTAATTTTTTTGGTCATTATTCTCTCTTCTTCATATTTTCCCATTGTTCTCTTTTCTTTATATTTTAGCACCTCTTTGTTTTCTATTCTTAATTTTGCCTATTGTTCACTATTCTTTATTTCTTGCCCATTATTCTATGTTCTGTAAACCTCATCCAGACACTCATATTCAAACTAGTGTTTTCTCAATCTTTTGAATGATCAAATAATAGATGACATTGCTAACTAATGTTAGTGAATCAAAGAAAAAATCATACTACACCCTTACTCTGTTGATTTTAGACTTGGCCTTGTGAGGTTTCAGTGGTTGAGCAGTTGACATAAGCCGTGCCATATCTCTTTTAAAATACATAGCAATTTTGCTGTATGTCAACAAATATCCTGCATTTGCCATTTTCTGCTTATCTTAAATTGTCAGCACTGAGAGCTCTGAAAAAAAACATTACAATGTTTTATATTGTTTGTTAGAGTTTATAAAAAATTTCTAATATGACGTTATTTCACTTTGGAAACAAAGCCATGTTCTTATTCCAATAAAACATGGGCTGCATGCACATGATTGACAATCACAATTGAAATTGCAACAACAGAGATCAAAATGGACATTTGTATTGGTGTTGCTGGCTAGGAAATTAAATAAAATCATTCTAAAAGTAAGTTTAAATGTATCTTCATTTTTTATCATGAAACCGTTAATTTTATATAATGTTTTGGTTTCATCAAATCAAAATGGTTGCCTTTCGAACATGTATCATAGGTCCACTTTGAAGTACAAAATTTATAAATTTTCCTATTCGAAACCGAAATTATATTCTTTCGTGCCATTCTCTATGCTAATTTTAACATGGGTAGGCATTATACTTGTCAACATTTTACAACTCGCTAACGCTCTGTATTAAGATATTGACAAATATAATGCCTTGACCCATGTTAAAATGAGCATAGCATGATAGAACAATTTCTTAAACAGAAATATTTTCATTGTTTTTTTTTAAGCTAAAAATAACATTAGGTGCCAAATTAACTAACCAAATGCAAAAATGACTTTTATTAGGTGCCCATTTGACTTCCTCTATATGTGCTGAATAGATAGGTTTCAATTGACACGATTTGACCAAGATTCATTTCCCTTTTTTTGCCATGTTGTTGCTAGACTTTAGAAAAAGTTGTTTTTTGAACAATTTAAAGTTTTTTTAGCATTGCCGATTCATCACTACCATCTTGTAATGATCTTTTATCAAACTTGTTTGTAATACATGTTTCAATTTTGTTAGTCAAATAAGAAAATCAACCATTAATAACCCTCCAAGAGGGTGACCATGGAAAATAACTCAAACCCAAATTGCATCCAATTGAAACCTTATGATCTATTGATCAGGTGCCAATTTGATTTGATTCGTTTCCTTTGATTTTCATGAAAGAGACATTTTTTATTTACAAATTTTAAATGACGATAATAAATTACTTTGGTAAATAATTTCAGAGGTTTTACGTAACTAAATACCTCTGAAATTAGATGCATGCATTTTATTTTAAACCCTTTTTGTGGATCAATACACGAGATTCCAATTGCGATTTTATGAATAAACTGCTACTTATGACCTGGGGTTATGTTTGGGGAAAATGTGTCATAGGACATTGTGACGTAAAATATTTGCTTTATTACGTACTTCAAATTTTTCTTGGAAAAAGGGTATCGTGTTTTATTTTCCCCCAATAAACGTTCGCATCCTACACATTCGCACCCAAGACATTCGCCCCCTAGGTTTGTTCACACCCTATTTTTATTTGTTTGAATTATAAGTTTTTTTTTATTTATCAAAATATTTAAACTTTCATGATTAAATTGCGGGAATTTTTAAATAAAATATTTTTTTGGTGATTTGATGATCAATTATTTTAATAATGTATAATTAGTGTTAATTGGAATTGACAAAGCCAAATTTGGTTTTATTATTCTGTGTTTAAAAATCATGATTGTTGTTATAACTAGCTTTGATGTAAATACTGCATGTGGTCCGAGTACACAGTTATTTCGTAGTGCATTTCTTTTAGACAATAAATGAAAATAAAAAAAATCCCACCTGCGCTTTCTCAATAATATTTTTACAGTGTGTTGTACTACTTTTGGGACAAATTATATCAAAATTATAGAAAACTTCATCGGCTCTAACTCAAAATATGGACAATTCTATGTTAAGGGGGTCTTGAAATCTTTTGATAGCTTCCGAAGTGCTAATTTTTAACCTTTTTCAGCTGGACCAAATCACTACTTTACTTTACAATTCATGACCCAAATTTTTTTACAGTGTAATTTCATCCCCCTACTTGCTATTTGAGGCATAAAACATGAAGGAATACATTTGGAAGGGGTACTAAAAAAATTGGCAAGCAACACACTGTCCACACTAGGGACTTTATTCGTGGACAACGAAAATCAAAGGACGATAACTGTGTACTCGGACCTAATAGGATAGAAAAATTTGACCAATCTTAATAAAACTTGGTATGACTAAAGCTTAATAAATTATGAGACTGCTGACAAAGTTTCATGGCAATAGGATATATATTATAGACAATATGATAAATTCTATATTCAACTTCGCGTGTTAAATTTAGAACGTTTAAATTGAAAAATTTCAACTATCAACATTTGGGGCTTTAAAAATTAAAATATTGCAAAAAATTACATTTTAAAGGCCTTAATATATGACATATTATGTATTTAAAGCAATAGAATACTCATTTGATTTATCAGACTTATCACAATTATTTAAAAGTCAAATTTATATGAGCCTGTGCCAAAAAATGGAGGTTTTCCAATGAAGGGGGGCCTTACATGAAGATGTATTATTTTCAAGCAATTTTAAATTTGTGGAGTTTTTTGGTTATAAATAATCCTTACATATGTATTAAATGTACTTTAAATGGAAAGAAAAATTACAAGTAGTATACCATATTAGTATAAAAGGGTCTTAAGCCAAGTAAGACTGAAAATAATTTAGGGTCAATTTAGGCCGTAGCACATATTTACATTTAAAAATGCATACTGAAGCTATAGGAAATAAAAAATTGTGTCTTTTTTATAATTTCTATACTCAGGTTACATGATACAATAAATCTGAGCATAAAAGGACTCTTGCATTCAACTTTTTTTGCAGACAGTATGGTCTGATACAAAGATTTTTCACTTTTTAGTGAAAAACTTGCATGCAATTTTAGCCTCAGCAGGCTTATATTTGAACCACTTGCTATTTAACATAAGAAAAGAAAGATAATATGTGAAATGAAACAGGTACAAAAGACATTGTGAAGTGCTTTTAATACAAATTTAGTGAAATCTTTATTATGGACTTCAACTTTTATGTACCTAGGTCCTCACATTTAACTTGATCCAAACAGGCCGTTACACGAGGGTCATTTATACAACACATTTTGCACATATTGTCTGAGATAATCTTATTTTCTGTAGATTCAGAGTTCACAAATGAGTAATACAACTGGGTTAAAGCATAGAAACACAAATATTGACACAGGAAAACCTGTCACATAGAAAGTCAGAATGCCACTTATGCATCAAAATTGAAAAAGCTTTGAAATGCTTATTTTGACCATATAATGCCAAAATGGGTAATTTTTGCAGAATTTCTATCAAATAAAAGTTTAAATCCTTTAGTTTCATGCTATCTGACAAATTGACACCATTAAATCATTCAGGGAAGTTGCCAAAGTACAGATTCTATATTTACTGATTTGGCCTCTTAGGTCCGAGTACACAGTTATTTCGTAGTGCATTTCTTTTAGACAATAAATGAAAATAAAAAAAATCCCACCTGCGCTTTCTCAATAATATTTTTACAGTGTGTTGTACTACTTTTGGGACAAATTATATCAAAATTATAGAAAACTTCATCGGCTCTAACTCAAAATATGGACAATTCTATGTTAAGGGGGTCTTGAAATCTTTTGATAGCTTCCGAAGTGCTAATTTTTAACCTTTTTCAGCTGGACAAAATCACTACTTTACTTTACAATTCATGACCCAAATTTTTTTACAATGTAATTTCATCCCCCTACTTGCTATTTGAGGCATAAAACATGAAGGAATACATTTGGAAGGGGTACTAAAATAATTGGCAAGCAACACACTGTCCACACTAGGGACTTTATTCGTGGACAACGAAAATCAAAGGACGATAACTGTGTACTCGGACCATGTAATTAGCTTTGTATGAGTAAAATATTGTATAACAGTCCCAGATCATGATGATTAATTTCATCAAAATAATTAATAAAACACTAAAGGAAACCTGTTTACGATTTTAAAATGTCAGTTTATTTTGAAACAATAAAAAAATTTATTTATGGCAATACACAAACTTAAAAACGATTAAATATTTATTCCACACAAAAACCAACAAAAAGGGCGCGAACAGACCCAGGTTGCGAACGTGTTGGGTGCGAACATGCAAGGGGGCGAACGTGAATGGGAGCGAACGTAATTTGGGGCGAATAGACCCAGATTCAGAAAAAAAGCACCAATGTAGCTTGGTATGAGTAAAATATTGATCAATATTGTATAACAGTCCCAGATTATGATGATTAATTTCATCAAAATAATTAATAAAACACTAAAGGAAACCTGTTTATGATTTTAAAATGTCAGTTTATTTTGAAACAATAAAAAAAATTATTTATAGCAATACACAAACTTAAAAACAATTAAATATTTATTCCACACAAAAACCAACAAAAAGGGCGCGAACAGACCCTGGTGAGGTTGCGAACGTGTTGGGTGCGAACATGCAAGGGGGCAAACGTGAATGGGAGCGAACGTAATTTGGGGCAAACAGACCAAGATTCAGAAAAAGCACCAATTGGTGCAGATCAAGTATACCAGGAGACTTTCGTTCTAGATTTTTGGAAACTCGCCATGTTTGAGGATAAAATAGAATGGTTTTTGTATTGAATTGAGAATTTGGGAATAGCATACTTTAACATTTTGTTTGATATCATTAAACTTAGAACACATACATGTAAATATACAGTAATTTAGGTATTTATATAAAGTCTATTAAACAGTTAAAGATATTTGAATGCCATTAAAATGAGTCCGTTTATTGGATTTCATCGGATTATTTTATCGTAGACTGATGTTGACAATGAGCTTATAGCAGAATATCTTCATCAAATACCCAGATCATGTTTCATTAACAACTCTGAGCATTAACAATGCTGTCTGGTAGAACAGGTACAAGTTGTACAACAATCATGAAATGAACACTTTAACTGAGTTATAGAATTTTTACGTGGATTCGGAATTTTGCAGTACAAACCATGTATCTCTTGATAGTTCTATGACAAAAATTAATAATTATTAATATTAGAGACATAAGAATAATAAGAAAAAACAAATTATAAAAAAATTTACTGCAGAATAGTGCTGTCATACGACGAGGTCAAAGGTAACGATCAACAGAGCAACAACATGGTCGTCAAAAAGGAAGACGAGATTTTGATGAAATCTATGTTAGAGGATGACCCCAACTCCAATGAATCAGTTGCAACAGAAAAACCCAGATGGGGACCTCAGCATGCGGGCGCCAAGGAATTGGCTAGTCAATATACAATGGGTAAAGTATTGAACCATGTTAAACTGTTAAATATATGCTTATGGCGTTATGCAACTCCTCACGTACACGGTACGGTTAAGATGCCTTTGGATTTTACGACCTTTGATGCACTGGAAACATTCATTATACTTCGGACTAATACATCTATATTGGTCTCAGATCATATTAGACCCAGGATATGCGATAAAAAGAAACTTGAAACAGGATTCCAACATCCTATTACACAATAATATGAGGCAGGTGAAGATGAAGTCCATATAATTATTTTGTGATACTTTTTGATAATCAGATATATACAAATTTGGTGGAATATGTATGCCTTATCCTTCATCAACTTATCGATTTTGGGGTTCTGAGTCCAAAACGATTTCCTGAACTTGTCGCCACAAGCTCAGAACCCCTTATCAAGAAAGCCCTTTAAAGTCTATTTGGGGAAATTTTTACCAGCTACCTCTCCTTGAACCCATGCCCTTTATGCTTACATCACCATTCTGTACACCCAAGGCAGGTAAGAATTGAATATAGCAGAGATTCAGCCTTTCAGAATCTGTTTAAATTTTGAAAATATGTTCCCTTTAAAGGTACTTATAGATCTATTTTGTCACAAAATTTATAGAAAAATCAGCCATTTTGTTATTTCAAGTTTTTGTCATGTGATCGGTACTGAAAACGCAGAACTTGCCTGTTTCCTTGACAATCACTATCCAGAAAAAAGAATTTTCCCATTGCAATATTTTGGTGAAGTTTTTCATATTCAAATTAGAGAAACATCACAAAACAATATGGCGTCAACAAGAACCCTTATCGTAAAGTGGTTTTACTAAAACTGCATGTATAATAATAAAGATGTGTAAACTGTATGAATTTGTATTGATGACTAAAGTACAAGATCACGTCATTAGTATACAACGTTAGATACAATAATACTGTGTTATGGTAACGTATTCTGTGCATGACTTCCAACAAAGCTAAATCATATGTTTATGCTCCTGCCGATGGGAGGAGGCATTAAGTGTTACCTTTGTCAGTCTGTACCTCCTAATGTATGTAAGTACGTCCCAAAATTAGTTTCCGTTCTCTTACTTCAATTTTTTGCCTCAACCAAATGTTATGAAACTTAAACATAATGCTTATTACCACAAAACACAGATCAAGACTGAATTTGGGTGACGTCACTTTTACCGTTTTAGAGTTATGCCCCTGTATAAAAGAAAAAATTGCTGAATTTTTCGTTTCCGTTCTCTAACTGAAAATGTTATGAAACTTATACACAATGCTTTTTACCATTAAACACAGATTGAGTTCGAATTTGGGTGGCATCATTTTAAAGTTCTCTAGTAATGTAAATGTCCCTTTATACTGTTATATGCAAGCGAGGGCATCATCTGTATCCCAAATGGATCTATAACCATCGTTTAAGGTAAGGTATTTTCAATAATTTCAACGGATTCTGAAAGGCTCATACATTGTATCTATTCTATTCAATTCTTACCTAAGCATAAAAGGCACCAGTTTGAGGAGAGGTAAGAAATAGATATTCATTTTATGTACATGCATTTAATTTTAAAATCTGTATTTGCAGGGAAAAGAATACAAGAGACCATATGCCTTTTTACTGCAATAGGACTTATTATATGGAATTTCACACAACTCGTTAGATATTTCCAACCAGAAAATTGGTACATTGTTCTTGTGTCAGCTAGTAAGTAAGATTGTTAATGCTTGATATTTGAATACATACATGTAGATAATATATAAAGATTCTACCACTGCATCAAGTGTGTGATACGTTTTCTAGACCGTTACATTTTCAAATTAAAACCAGAAGCTTGTCAAGCGTTTCAAATCATGTATTTTTAATTAATCGGCTCAGAGATAATATGTAGACAAACTTTATCATTCTTTTCTAATAATCTGCAAAAATTTATCATTCTTTTCGAACTATCATCAGACATGCATGGTTGCCTTTTTTCATGACCACAGTATAGCAAAATCAGAAGACAGGAAAAATGATTGACATTATAATTGAATTAAGACCAATGAAGAATTGAGATCAAGTATACCTAAGGTTGATTACAGAAAAAATCAACTGTTCATTTATAAGTTTAACCACATCAACAAACTTGCTAAAATCATCTTGGTAATTCATATGTAGATTGTCATTACTAAGTAAATTGAAGAAAAGTTTGTTGTCACAAACAAAAAGCTACCAATATTTCAATTGATCTGCACATTCATACAAATTTAAATGCTACATGCATTAAGCTTAATAAACAACAATAAAACCATAAGCTTTAATACTGGAACCTAAAATTAACATTTCGGGAATCTTCTCAATGGGTTTTTCGCTGTCACAACAACCCTTTTTGGTCTGACAGTTGAGAATGGCAATCATATTAGAGCTGGTCATAAAGTGTGTTTACTCATTATGATTGGCAGTATGATGACCTGTAAATGGCTTTTTGTTGTTGTTTACTGTACATTTATAATTCTTGAGCACCTGGCAGAAGTATTAATGATAGGAAAATGTCATACCTGAAAGGTATACATGTATGTGATACTTGACACTTGTGAAAAGTGCACTGAATTCGGTAGGTCAGGTTACTTTCTTAAAAGTACCTGTTATATGAATGTATAATTTTCATCTGTAGATTTTAATGTTTTAATACCTTTCATAGGAAAGTTTTTGTATATTTGATATATATGTTATGCATTTTGTTTATTATGCCCCCGCCGTAGCGGTGGAGGCATTAAGTTTTACCCTTGTCCGTCTGTACGTACGTATGTCCCAAAATTGGTTTCCATTCTCTAACTTGAGTTTACCTCAACTAAGTTATATGAAACTCATACACAATGCTTATTACCACAAAACACAGATCAAGTTTGAATTTTGGTGGCGTCACTTTAACCGTTCTAGTGTTATGCCCCTTTATAAATGGAAAAATTGCAAAATTTTTATTTTCTTCTAAATATCAAGTAATTTTTAAAATTGTAGTTATCTTCCTTTGTCCATGATTATAGTTGAATCAACTACAATCAATGCTTTATACAATGCAATGTTTAATTTTGACTTCCACTGATAAAACACAGATCAAGTTGAATTTGGGTAGTGTCACTTTAACCATTATTGAGTTATGCCCCTTTATAAATCGAAAGATTGCAAAATTTTTAGTTTCCATTCTGTAACTTAAGTTTGCCCCAACCAAACATTATGAAACCTATACACAATATTCATTACCACAAAACTAAGATCAAGTACAAATTTTTTGTTTCTGTTTTCTAACTTTAGTTTGCCTCAACCAAATGTTATGAAACTTATACACAATGCTTATTACTACATAATACAGATTAATTACGAAATTTGGTGACGACACTTTTACCATTCGTGAGTTATGTCCCTTTATAAACATAAAAATTGCTGAATTTTTCGTTTCCGTTCTCTCACTTTAATTTGTCTCAACCAAATGTTATAAAACTTATACACAACCGTTCTAGAGTTATGCGTGTTAACAAATAGAAAAATTGCTGAATTTTTAGTTTCTGTTCTCGACTTAAGTTAGCAACCAAATGTTATGAGACTTACACACAATGCTTATTACCACAAAACTCAGATCAAGTTCAAATTTGGGTAGCATCACTTTTACCGTTCTTCAGTTATGTCCCTTTATAACTATATAATATGCAAACGAGGCATCATCTGTGTCCACATGTGGACACTATCCACATTTATTAATAAATATGTTTCTGTTCAGTTTTAGGTATATTGACTGCAGATTTCTTTAGTGGACTGGTGCACTGGGGAGCCGACACTTGGGGATCAGTGGAATTGCCTATCTTGGGAAAGGTACTAATTAATTAATCACTGAGTTAGTAATGCTGAATATGGCAGATCAAGTTATGTTTTTTTTTTCAAAGTACACTTCTCATGTGAAAGATTGTATATTTATGGTCTGGTCCTGCTTCAAAATTTATTCACACTTATAATAAATTTATAAATATAAATAAATGTAAAACTTAACCACCAACCAATAATTTATTATATAATACATGTAGTACCAGTTGGCTTCTGTGAGCTATTGCAATCACTTGGCAATTGTCGTCATACTCTCAATTATTTAAGCTGAAATACTAAATTTGCTACTTTTACTTTAAATAGAACATAAGAGTTAAATGCAGATATGATTGTCAATAAATCAAAAGTTATGTATGTTAAATGCATGAGATGATGAAATGGTCCTGAAAAGTGCCTTTTCAAAATACCTTACAATACTCAGCTGGTCGACCAAGATGGTGGCAATTGCTAACAGTAGAAAATGCTTTAAAAAAATCTGATAAAATTAATAGCTGATTCAAGGACTGATAAGGAAAGGTTAGGAATTTGAAAAAAAAAAGTCTTATTAATGTTATAAACAAGACTAAAATAATGGAAAAATAAATGATTGTAATGATTATATTTGAAAGCATTTAATTTGACCTAAAAAGGATGAAAAACAAGTGAATCACATGTTTATGATAAAAGAATAATCAACTGACAAGGAAACGTTTAAATGAGTTTAAGACGTAAGTTGTTATAGACAAAGACTAAAAAATAATAGAATGGGTGAAAAATGTAAGAAATTTGGAGGTATAGGCATATCTTGCACTCATGAAAAATTTCTTTTATTTTGTACGTACATGAAAAAATTAACTGCGTTTACCATTAATATTTTTTTATATACAATATATATATATATAACCAAGTCTAAATTGAAAACAATACATTTATTACTTTATCTTCATTTTCAGGGTTTTATACGACCCTTCAGAGAACACCATATTGACCCGACCTCTATAACTAGACATGACTTTATAGAGACCAATGGTGATAATTTTGCCGTTATAATTCCATTTTTAGCTCAAATGGCATACAAATTTTGGACACTGACACCTGAACAGATAGCAGCAACTTACAATTGGGAGTGTTATGTATTTTTTATTGCAGTATTTGTTAGTTTGACTAATCAGGTAGGCTTAACCAATGTTAAAACCGAATTATATGCAAATTTCCAATAACAAAAATGTTCACTTAAGTATTTTAGCATTAGGAAAAAACATCTGCCTTCGATGCGTTATAACAGTAATGCAAATTATACTGGTTAATTAAATGTTTTCACCAAAATATTTAAGCATTGGGCAAAACAAATCTGCATTATTTTTGTGGTTAATTTTCTATGTATTTCAACATTGCATCTTTGGAACTTCATTTGCCAAGTCACAGTTCCTATAGCATATTTCATCAGACCTGCAAACTTTCCAGATTTCCTATTAGAGGTGTTGATCAGACAGAATCTTGAAACCCCCCATTATATAAACTGAATACCGTACCTCAAGACTGTTATAATGACTTTTAAATACATGTACTGTAAATTCAGAAATTATTGCGATGTTTTTATTATTGCGAAAAATGGGACAGGGTTATAATCGCAATAATTTAAACTCGCATTTTGAAATTTTTTTTATGAATAAAACAGGATTTTTCTCAATTATCGCAAAAATTAAAATCACATTTTAGTCTAAAATGACAAAATCGCAATAATAAATGCACACAATAATTTCTGAATTTACAGTACATTGTACATATATACCAGGTACTATTAATTCAAAACCATATAGTATACTTGATTAAAAACACTTTAAATATGACATGTATAGGAGATGCATTAGATCTCTTGGGCTGTAAATCGCACTTGATGGTTTTGAAAAGTCAGCAGGTATGTTTCTAGGCAGTCGGTTTTACTTGTTGAGAAATCCAAAATGTTCAAAGTTAATCACATACATGGACATACTTTAAATCAAGTGGACATGACAAATGACGAGAAAGATTTGAACCTGAACTGTGCTTGTGATATGCTTTTGTTTATACAAATCCTTTGTATTGGCAGACTCTGAAAATAGAATTATAATCGGTAATTGTGGCTTATCCGACATGTAAGGAAATAGGGGTTCTGACTAAATACAGCATTCACTTAAACTTCATTTAGAATGTTGATGAATAACTAAGTTTCATGGAAAAAAGAAGGGACTTTGGATGTACTTTTATTGCTGTATTTCATCTTGATAGTTACCGGTACTATTTAATCTGCAACAATGACTAAAATAAATAGAAAGACCAAGATGTTGGCTAGCCTGGCATCATCTTTATTAGTTTTATTCTTTGATAACCATAACATAATTTTTTTGAAGGGAAAAAAAAAAATTCTTTTCATATATTTTCTTTTTTTTCAGTTTCACAAATGGTCTCATACTTACTTTGGACTTCCAAAGTGGATAACTCTGTTACAAGACTATCATATTATCTTACCCAAGAAGCATCATAGGATCCACCATGTCTCTCCTCACGAGACATATTTCTGTATAACGACAGGATGGCTTAATTATCCTCTAGAGAAAATCAGGTTCTGGACTACACTAGAAAGCTTAATAGAGAGCACAACAGGAAACAAGCCTAGAGCAGATGATTTCAAGTGGGCATCCAAAACACATTGAGGAAAAGATAAGTTAGAATGTAATTGGATAAAAGCACAGAATGTTTAGAAGAAAAATTTAATGTTGAGAAAATTTCCTGTACAAGAAGAAGTTTTTTGCACCGATGATCTATCGGGAATTGTGCAAACATCTCTGTACTTCAAAATTGATGCGACAACAGGAAGTTTTCTTTACAGGGTGTGTGGGTTTATATCACAAACATGGGGCATTATTACAACATGTAACTTGAAGATCAAATTAAAGCAGAATTGATATGAGTAGAAAAAAAATTATAAAGAGTTAAGGCATTTATTTCAATTAGGGTTCAAAAACATTGAAAAAGAATACAATTTTATGTTTTTTCACCTTTTTCATTACTTAAAACAAAGTTATCAAGACTAAAACCAGTTTTTCTGAGAAGAGTAACTGAATATTTTGTTTATATTGTAACTATAAGTCACAAGATGTTATATCCAAGTTAAAAATACAAAAATCTTCATGATGCCTCTTCAGGGATTGATGATTTATTTTCGAAGACCTCTTTCCATTTGAAGACATACATCAAGATATTATATACAAAATAATACACATTATGAATGCTTGATCAAAATCAGATTTTCACTCATCTTCTTGCATGAATTTCTCCTGTTTCAAATTTTTACTTCCATCTTGTAATACTTTATAAGGAGTAATTGACCAGAACAAATGAGAATGATCATATACAATGTATGTTGTGTTGTGAATCCTGCCAATTGTTTATTTAATTGTTATTTAGCTTTCTTGTTATTAAAGAAGAAGTTTGATATTTTGTACATCTTATAGTTTTTATGATGGATACATGTAGGTCTACTAAAGTTATCTATGCTTTTAGTGTTATGAAAGTTGAATGTGAAACATAAACGTTTTATATTTGGAAGATGTATTTTATACTACTTACATATTATACAATTTTGATGTATTTATTTGCAGTAGAGTTTTCAAGTTGTAACTGAGGATATATATGTGCAAAAAACTAATTTATTATTTTGTACAAAGGTTTGCACCTGTTGATAACTATTCACAATTATCGCTTTTTTTTCTAAAATGGGATTCTTTTAGTATTTATTGTTTTAAATGTGATATCAGGTCTTGGTTGAAACTTTGATATGTACTTTTTATAATCAGTTTGACCTAGTAACATAACCTAATAAAAACTGGTTTGACCTTGGACTTCAGTGTAGATATGGGAAAATAAAATACTCACTCTATAAATGAATGATACAAAGTTTACTTGTAATTATCTGCTGTGTTCATGTACTTTAAAATTATAAAGAAATTTATTATTTTACTCATGAGGTTTAAAAAACAAAACTTTTAAAAAGTGATATTAAAAAAATATGTGATATATGACCTGTTTAAAAATGAAAGGAAAGTAAGAAAGGATTTTTTTTTTCATTAAGACATTCTCAATTGTTGAGGGTTATTGTAAGGCTGTCATCCGGTTAAACATAGATCTGAGATAATTCATACCGATGTGTAAACTTCGGTTTTCAAATTCATTTATTTGTTCATGTGCATGAAAACTCTAGTATGTCTGTTGAAATCACACATTTAAATGAAGGACAAAGATTGTATTAAATAAGGCCATTTATCATTTGTAATTTTTTAATTTGAGCAGATTGAAAAATTTGGCAGTTAATCTCACGTTTTTGGATAAATACTGCAAAAACATAAATTATTTCCAGATTCAAGAATTCATAAAATTTCTTTAAATGACAAATTTTAAGCAAAATTTTAAAGAGCAGACAGGATGAAACTGAAAAATAAATTTTACCTGACCCTTATGGATCATTGCACCTTTATGTTTTGTAAGATTATGTTATATTATATGTTCATGTAAAAGTATATAAATGCATATTAATTTATTGTATTATTACCAAATCAATTGCAGATGTTGTTTTAAAGAATATAAAACTTGCATCAATATTAAGCCAACTGCTTGTTTCATTATTTGTTTTAGGGAAACCTTTTTCTTTTCTTTTTTCTTCCTAATATCCAAAGAAGTTAGATTAAATTGATTCTGTCTCAAAGATTTGTGTTTTCATGGATATGTTATTTGAATTTTTGTTGGACCAATTTTATGTTTGACATGTCTATCTATATACGAAGTTTCTTTACACATAGCACTTTATTTTATTAAATAGATCAATTCACAATGCCACTGGAAATTGGCTTAGCTTTATAATTGTGCACAATTTTTGCATGATGACTATTATTTTTGAAAAAAGTCAGTTCTTCAACTTAATCCTAATACTGTAAAGTCAGAAATTATTATGATGATTTTATTATTGCGAAAAAATTCCGAGGGGATTTGTATCTGACACCCAAAATAAAAAGTTGCATTATAAATTTTGATACATTATTTGTATGCAGCATATCCTGAAATTACAATAATGATAGCATTATTTGTATGCAGCATATCCTGAAATTACAATAATGATAGCATTACTTGTATGCAGCATATCCTGAAATTACAATAATGATAGCATTATTTGTATGCAGCATATCCTGAAATTACAATAATGATAGCATTATTTGTATGCAGCATTTTGTATGCAGCATATCCTGAAATTACAATAATGATAGCATTATTTGTATGCAGCATATCCTGAAATTACAATAATGATAGCATTACTTGTATGCAGCATATCCTGAAATTACAATAATGAAAGCATTACTTGTGTGCAGCATATCCTGAAATTACAATAATGATAGCATTACTTGTATGCAGCATATCCTGAAATTACAATAATGATAGCATTATTTGTATGCAGCATATCCTGAAATCACAATAATTAATCTCACATTTATGTCTATGGTTCAACAATCACAATAATTTCTGAATTTGTAGTATTCTGTTTGTAACATGTGCTTTTTGGATTGCAGGGGTTGAAAATAGAATAATTTTTTGGGTAAAGATTGCATGAAATGCAATTAAAACCCTATGGTAATGACTTGATATCTAAATCTTCCAAGGTTTATCACTACCTTTCATTGTTCAAACAAAATAGTGCAGTGAAGTGATCATTCTTCAGAAACTATCCAGTCAATGTCAAACAATTTATTAATGATGATATGTTATACTTAGATATTTAAGTTACAATATGATGTGTATTTGAATTACCATACATCAGGATTTTTTTTATTAAAATTTACATAAGTAATGCATGGTGTATGAATCTTGTGATAAAAATAGGCTCAACCAGAAATGTACAATCATGAACAAAGGAAGATAACTCAAACTCAAATTTATAATTTGCTTATCTATTTAAATATAATTCAATGTTTTATTTTAAAATCATGAAATTGCAAAATGAAAGCAATCTTTACCCTTCAGTGCTCACAAGCTCTTTAATTAATCAAGTCATAGATTTTCTTAATGCAATTTTAGATCAGTCCTTTTTTTATACGACCGCAAAAAAATTTTTGTGGTCGTATATTGGTATGACGTTGGCGTCGTCGTCGTCGTCCGAAGACACATTAGTTTTCGCACTCTGACTTTAGTTTAAGTGAATGGATCTCAATGAAATTTTACCATAATGTTCAATACCACAAAAGGAAGGTGGGGATTGATTTTGGGGGTTATGGTACCAACAGTTAGGGAATAAGGGGCCAAAATAAAGCATTTTTACAACTTTCAGACATAACTTGTATGTTAGTGTATGGATCTCTCTGACATTGTACCACAAGGTTCCATATCACACAGGGAATGCTGGGATTGATTTTGGGGGTAATTGCCTCAAAATTTTAGGAATTAGGGGCCAAAAAGGGGCAAAAAACAAGCATTTTTCTAGTTTCATGACAATAACTTGTGTGTAAGTGTATGGATCTCTCTGACATTGTGTCACAAGGTTCCATATCATAAAGGGAATGCTGGGATTGATTTTGGGGGTAATTGCCTCCAAATTTTAGGAATTAGGGGCCAAAAAGGGCAAAAAACAAGCATTTATCTAGTTTCATGACAATAACTTGTGTTCAAGTGTATGGATCCCTCTGAAATTGTACTGCAAGGTACCATACCACAAAGGAAAGGCTGGGATTGATTTTGGGGGTAATTCCCTCAAAATTTTAGTAATTAGGGGCCATAAAAGGGCAAAAAAACAAGCCTTTTTCTAGTTTCAGGACAATAACTTGTGTGTAAGTGTATGGATCTTTATGAAATTGTACTGCAAGGTTCCATATCACAAAGGGAAAGCTGGGTTTGAGTTTGGGGGTATTGCCCTAAACGTTTAGGAATTTGGGGCCAAAAAGAGGTAAAAAAACAAGCATTTTTGTAGTTTCCAGACAATAACTTGTGTTCAAGTGTATGGATCTCTCTGAAATTGTACTGAAAGGTACCATACCACAAAGGGAAAGCTGGGATTGAGTTTGGGGGTGATGAATCATAAGGGGGTTCAAAAAATTTGGGGGGGGGATTTTTTTTTCCTTTTTTTTCTTTTAAATTTTCCATTTTAAAATGGTTATTTCTGATTTATATATAAAAGCAAATAATAATGATATGGTTTGAATAGGTAAATTAAAAATTTTTAAGTTCTTAGACCACTTTCATTCTGTGTCAGAAACCTATGCTGTGTCAAATATTTAATTACAATCCAAATTCAGTGCTGTATCAAGCTTGAATGTTGTGTCCATACTTGCCCCAACTGTTCAGGGTTCGACCTCTGCGGTCGTATCAAGCTGCGCCCGAGCGGAGCATTTTATTAACCTCTTCAGTAGTTTGTCCAAAAGGTTAAAAGTATTTCAAATCACTATTGTTAAGATTGAGTGTTTACATTAACATTTGCCATCAATATTGTACTTGATGTATGCTTCTTTTCATTTTTAGCCTAGAATACCTTTCTCTGTCCAATGTCTTGTAAAGTGCCTAAATTATTTTTATAGCAGGTATAAATGTTTAGTAACAATAAAAAAAAAGGATGTTTGATTTATATTTGTTTAAGTGCTACATATTGTATTAAAGATTACGTGCTACATATTGTAAGATATTGTATGTATACAATCAACATGTATAACCATCACAGAGGAAACTACATTTGTTTGCTAAACAATTAAAGTAGATCTCAACACTTTTATTTTTGTTCATCCTGAACATTCATGAAATATTTGCCACCGTACGATAAGCAACCAACATTAGTTTGGGTTTTAGTGAGTAAAATCTTCAAGACTAAATCATTTCTTTGAAAGTGTTTTTTACTTCTAGACAATAATTTGTAGAAAATTCCATTCTTCATGGGTAGTTACATCTGTTTGCAAAAATGCAGTACAATGCACTTTATTAACCAGTATACATATGATAGAATTTGTCAACTACCTGTGTTATAAACAAGATTTTTAATGGACATATTTTATAGGTAATTGCACAAAAACTAAGGTTTCAACTCCTTTAGAAACAGTTAAACTTAAAAGATTTTGGTGGTTCTGTTTTTACTCTTTTCAATGGACAGTCATCCATCATCATCATCGTCATCATCTTTTCAATGGCTCAAACATTTTATGTATTTTCTTCCAATTCTTTTGGTCTCACTTGAAAATGATTTTTCTGCACCACTTGAATTCCATGCCCATCTTTTACATGACCAGTATTTATGTATGATGTATTTTAATATATATTTACTTTTATCATTACTTTAGTATTCATATTCTAGTTTTATACATTTTTAACCAATAAGGCACTTTCCTCCATGCAAAGGCTTGTTCTTGATTGAACTAATGAATAATCTTATCAGGGGAAATAACTGTGTTGTTGTTATGGGATACAGCAAATCGTGACATTAACTAAATAACTGTCACATATATTTTAGTTAATTACTGTGGATTCATTATTATGCCCCCGCTGTAGCGGAGGGGGCATTAAGTTTTACCCTTGTACGTCTGTATGTCTGTACATCCTAAAATTGGTTTCCGTTCTCTAACTTTAGTTTGCCTCAACCAAATGTTATGAAACTTATACACAATGCTTATTACCACAAAACTCAGATCAAGTATGAAGTTGGGTAGCGTCACTTTTACCGTTCTTAAGTTATGTTCCTGTATAACGTTATATGCAAGCCGAGGCATCATCTGTGTCCCATGGACACATTCCCCATTTTTTTTTTGTGGAATACCAGTTTTTGTGGTTATAGATAAACCTTGAATTTAAATGTTCAATGAGTTACATATTTTCTGAAGGCTTGTTTGCAGACCTTAGCAAAACCATTAAATCTGATGTCAATCGAAAATACAACTATAGGATTTGGCAAACACTTCAAGAACCAATAATGTTTTGATAACAAAATATATATGGCAAAACTATACAGTTTAATCTAAAGAAAATGTTGTTGTGTAAAATGCTACTATTATACTCTCCCCTCTATCATTAATTTTAGGAAAATTTTCTAAATATTTAAATATCCATCTGAGAAATTATTTGCTGTATTTTTTATCACATCATTATCTCCCTTGCGTAGTTGCATTTAAATACTTTTTTCATCATTTTTTTAAGTTATTATTTTTATTGCATATCATTGTGATTAAAAAATTCCGCACTACACAGTAACATTATTTCAATTGCTGTTTTTTTTTACTTTGTGTAAATTGACCTCAAATGTTTGTATAATGAATATTCAACAGATGTAGAATTGATATTTATTCTTACAAAGGTTCAATTAATTAATCCAATATATCAATGATTTAACCAGTTTAAGATAAAGCAATCATACTTTCCTACTTGCATTATGTTGTGCCTTTAGAATTATCTTAGTTTTTGTACACTCAAGGTAATTTTTGAGAAAACTGATAGCATTCATTGAAATAAGCATTAAAAAGTATTTAAAAAAATCAGAACATTTTTTTTTTGTGTATTGTTCGAAAATATGAATGTCAATAATATAAACATGTTCATATAGTATTCTTTAGTTGCTCATAAATCTGTCCTGTATGATTTCTGTAAAATTTTCATCCTTTGTGCCTAATAAAATAGTACTAACAATCTTTTTTTCTTTACTATGATCAAAAGGAGAAATGGAGTGTTTGTCAAAGAGACAATGAAACTTACATCTAGTGCAGCATCCCAAACTTCCCCAGAAATCTGGAAGGTCGCAACATCTTTATGAAAGACATTTTGGCCTGCTCCATCATGGTTGCCTTTAATATAACAAACCATTCAGAAAAAGTCGAGACCTCAGGCCAACAAGCTGGTTTAAATTTGGAATAATGATATGGAGATCATCATATGGTCTTCAATGATAAGTTGAAAAAAAAGGGGAAAAGAAACCAAGGTGATTAAAAATAATACGAGTCAGATGAAAAACACAGACAAAACCATGATTCTAGCTATTCTAACTCCTTTACACAGTAATGATAGTCCAATAAGTAGTATGTATGTATTTAACATGCTGGAAAATATGTTTTGAAAATTTTACTTAGCCATGGTATTTTGACCCCCCTGCCATGGTATATCGAACCCCCTACTATAGACCTCTAATTTCAAGAAATCTAACTATTCTAACTCCTTTATATAATAATTATACTCCAATAAGTAGTTTGTATGTATTTAACATGCTGGAAAAGATGTTTTGAAAATTTTACTTAGCCATGGTATTTTGACCTCCCTGCCATGGTATATCGAACCCCCTACCAAAGACCTCTAATAACAAAAAATCTAGCTATTTTAACTCCTTTACATACATGTTGTTAAAATAGTTCAATAACTAGTATGTATTTAACATGCTGGAAAAGATGTTTTGAAAATTTTACTTAGCCATGGTATTTTGACCTCCCTGCCATGGTACATGTATATTGAATCCCCTACTATAGACCTCCAATTTCAAAAATTCTAGCTATTCTAACTCCTTAACATAGTTACAATACTCCAATTAGTAGTTGGTATGTATTTAACATGCTGGAAAAGATGTTTTGAAATTTAACTTAGCCATGGTATTTTGACCCCCCTGCCATGGTATATTGACCCCCCTTTTACTCCTCCAATTTCAAAAAATCTATCTTTTAAAACTCCTTTACACAGTAATAATACTCCAATAAGTAGTTTGTATGTACTTAACATGCTGGAAAAGATGTTTTGAACATTTAACTTAGCCATGGTATTTTGACCCCCCTGCCATGCTATATTGACCCCCCTTTTACTCCTCCAATTTCAAAAAATCTATCTATTAAAACTCCTTTACACAGTAATATTATTCCACTAAGTATTTGTTTGTATGTATTGAACATGTTGGAAAATATGTTTTGAAAATTTGTCTTAGCCATGGTAGTTTGACCCCCTTGCCATGGTATATTGAACCCCTTACTATAGACCTCTATTTTCAAAAATTCTAGCTATTCTAACTTCTTTACATAGTTATAATAGTCCAATAAGTAGTATGTATGTATTTAACATGCTGGAAAAGATGTTTTGAAAATTTTACTTAGCCATGGTATTTTGACCTCCCTGCCATGGTACATGTATATTGAACCCCTTACTATAGACCTCCAATTTCAAAAATTCCAGCTATTCTAACTCCTTTACATAGTTATAATACCCCAATTAGTAGTTGGTGTGTATTTAACATGCTGGAAAAGATGTTTTGAAAATTTTACTTAGCCATGGTATTTTGACCTCCCTGCCATGGTACATGTATATTGAACCCCCTACTATAGACCTCCAATTTCAAAAATTCTAGCTATTCTAACTCCTTAACATAGTTACAATACTCCAATTAGTAGTTGGTATGTATTTAACATGCTGGAAAAGATGTTTTGAAATTTAACTTAGCAATGGTATTTTGACCCCCTTGCCATGGTATATTGACCCCCCTTTTACTCCTCCAATTTCAAAAAATCTATCTTTTAAAACTCCTTTACACAGTTATAATACTCCAATAAGTAGTTTGTATGTACTTAACATGCTGGAAAAGATGTTTTGAACATTTTACTTAGCCATGGTATTTTGACCCCCCTGCCATGCTATATTGACCCCCCTTTTACTCCTCCAATTTCAAAAAATCTATCTATTAAAACTCCTTTACACAGTAATATTATTCCACTAGGTAGTTTGTATGTATTGAACATGTTTGAAAATATGTTTTGAAAATTTTTCTTAGCCATGGTAGTTTGACCCCCTTGCCATGGTATATTGAACCCCTTACTATAGACCTCTATTTTCAAAAATTCTAGCTATTCTAACTTCTTTACATAGTTATAATAGTCCAATAAGTAGTATGTATGTATTTAACATGCTGGAAAAGATGTTTTGAAAATTTTACTTAGCCATGGTATTTTGACCTCCCTGCCATGGTACATGTATATTGAACCCCTTACTATAGACCTCCAATTTCAAAAATTCCAGCTATTCTAACTCCTTTACATAGTTATAATACCCCAATTAGTAGTTGGTGTGTATTTAACATGCTGGAAAAGATGTTTTGAAAATTTTACTTAGCCATGGTATTTTGACCTCCCTGCCATGGTACATGTATATTGAACCCCCTACTATAGACCTCCAATTTAAAAAATTCTAGCTATTCTAACTCCTTAACATAGTTACAATACTCCAATTAGTAGTTGGTATGTATTTAACATGCTGGAAAAGATGTTTTGAAATTTAACTTAGCCATGGTATTTTGACCCCCTTGCCATGGTATATTGACCCCCCTTTTACTCCTCCAATTTCAAAAAATATATCTTTTAAAACTCCTTTACACAGTTATAATACTCCAATAAGTAGTTTGTATGTACTTAACATTCTGGAAAAGATGTTTTGAACATTTTACTTAGCCATGGTATTTTGACCCCCCTGCCATGCTATATTGACCCCCCTTTTACTCCTCCAATTTCAAAAATCTATCTTTTAAAACTCCTTTACACAGTAATATTATTCCACTAAGTATTTGCTTGTATGTATTGAACATGTTGGAAAATATGTTTTGAAAATTTTTCTTAGCCATGGTAGTTTGACCCCCTTGCCATGGTATATTGAACCCCTTACTATAGACCTCTATTTTCAAAAATTCTAGCTATTCTAACTTCTTTACATAGTTATAATAGTCCAATAAGTAGTATGTATGTATTTAACATGCTGGAAAAGATGTTTTGAAAATTTTACTTAGCCATGGTATTTTGCCCCCCCCCCCTTGCCTTGGTATATTGAACCCCCTACTATAGACCTCCAATTTCAAAAATTCTAGCTATTTTAACTCCTTTACATAGTTACAATACTCCAATTAGTAGTTTGTATGTATTTAACATGCTGAAAAAGATGTTTTGAAATTTAACTTAGCCATGGTATTTTGACCTCCCTGCCATGGTACATGTATATTGACCCCCTTTTACTCCTCCAATTTTAAAAAATCTATCTTTTTAAAACTCCTTTACACAGTAATAATACTCCAATAAGTAGTTTGTATGTACTTAACATGCTGGAAAAGATGTTTTGAACATTTTACTTAGCCATGGTATTTTGACCCCCCTGCCATGCTATATTGACCCCCCCTTTTACTCCTCCAATTTCAAAAAATCTATCTTTTAAAACTACTTTACACAGTAATAATACTCCAATAAGTAGTTTGTATGTACTTAACATTCTGGAAAAGATGTTTTGAACATTTTACTTAGCCATGGTATTTTGACCCCCCTGCCATGCTATATTGACCCCCCTTTTACTCCTCCAATTTCAAAAAATCTATCTATTAAAACTCCTTTACACAGTAATATTATTCCACTAAGTAGTTTGTATGTATTGAACATGTTGGAAAAGATGTTTTGAAAATTTTTCTTAGCCATGGTATTTTGACCCCTTGCCATGGTATATTAAACCCCCTACTATAGACCTCTATTTTCAAAAATTCTAGCTATTCTAACTCCTTTACATAGTAATAATACTCCACTTAGTAGTTTGTATGTATTTAACATGCTGGAAAATATGTTTTGAAAATTTTACTTAGCCATGGTATTTTGACCCCCCCCCCTTGCCTTGGTATATTGAACCCCCTACTATAGACCTCCAATTTCAAAAATTCCAGCTATTCTAACTCCTTTAAATAGTTAAAATACCCCAATTAGTAGTTGGTGTGTATTTAACATGCTGGAAAAGATGTTTTGAAAATTTTTCTTAGCCATGGTATTTTGACCCCCCTGCCATGGTATATTGAACCCCCTACTATAGACCTCTAATCTCAAAAATTCTAGCTATTCTAACTCCTTTACATAGTTATAATAGTCCAATTAGTCGTATGTATGTATTTAACATGCTGGAAAAGATGTGGGGTTCAAAATACCATATGGGAAAAATGACCCCGCGGTCAAAATACCATGCGGTATAATGACCCCGGGTTCAAAATACCATATGACATCGGGTCCATTTTTCAATGAAAATGGCTGCTTGTTGAAAATAAGGAAACTACACGAAAAAATAAAATAAAGATGTTCTGAATACCTACAACTTGAATAGTCGTGAAGAGTGATAGCACACACTTAAATATACCAGTACAGGTTCTTGTGTTTCCCTATAATGAGATTTTGTCTTGCCTGAATGCGAGACAAAGTGATAACTATCTGGAGGACAAGGTGTAAACTATTTGTATAAATCTTTATATTTCAGAAAAAAGAAGACTTGGATGCTTCTTACATTGTAAGCAAATGCCTTATGTTACCAAGATTCCATCTGTCATATGGCTATTGTCCTTGCCCTCATTTTCAAGTTTAAGCAACTGCTTGAAATTTTTTTCAAGTATTTTGTCATGTGAAATACCCACTTATGAGTAATAAAACTAAAGGCTCTAAAGTGTCACTCACCTTGGTCTATGTGCATATTCAACAAAGGACACTCTCCAACATTGTAGACGAGAATAGAATTCATGACAAAAATCTTTATTTCATTGATTTTTTATTGCTGGTAATTAAGTTTGATTAGTTTCTCTCTATCTTCTTTAGTTTTTGCTCAAAACACAAAAGAGGGTAAAAAAAAATCCTCATTTAAGGACAATCCCTTCT